GGTTGAGAGAACCTGTCCATGATGAGCAAGCATGAAGCCACAGTAGGGAGGAAAAACTCGCCGTTAGGAAGAAACCTCTGGCAGAACCAGGCTCAACATGGCGGTCTTCTGCCAGACCGGTTGAGATGAGACCGGGAATGCAGTAAGAGTCCAGGAGGAATGACACACTGATCAAGCTTTAGCTACAATGGTGGATGAGGGGCTTAAAATGCGGTTTAAATGCGGTCATCTCAATAAAGTCACACAGTGCAACTACAGCCTTCACACAGGAGCAGACAAGTTGCGGATCGGAGGCCTGTTAAGATGAACTTTGGATGCCGATTGGCTTTCGTGGAGGTGTGGTTCAAAACTGATTGACTGTGTCGCAGGTGGATGTAGGAGAGTAATGAGTTTCTTCAGTTGAACTTTCGCCTAGGCTCCTGTTAGAATAATTGTATATAAATGTATCTGTGTAGTGTTATCATACATAAAGCTGTATGCTATGTGCATGTGTTCATAGCCATCTTTTCTAAAGTATACTGTGATTTGTAAGATTTGCTTTTGGGGAGGCTATGGTTGATCTACGGGCAGCACTCGACCTGCTGAACTTTGGTGAACAGCTTCAACTGCTTAAACTTTGACTGAACCCTAAAATTTATAGGATGTTTACTGAGACTGCAAGTCTGAATTTTTCATGTTGTTTCTGATCTCTAGAGCAGTCTCAGCTGTTGTAACAAGGGACTCCTGATTTCTAATAAATAGCGAGCAGAACGCTGGGACTGCAAAGTGAGGTGGAGATTGTAAACTCTGAAGTCTCTTCCTACTCTCCACGCGATTATAAATATAATTAATTGTCTCTGTGCCTTCTCTTCTTTCCCTGCATGTATGTATGATGTTTTAGGTGCTTAGACCTGACAGCTTCATATCACCATACTTTAAAGATTTGGACCAACTTAAAACCTGAATTCTTCCATCATGTGGACACTGATTTCATGCCTTCATCTCTGGGCTCCATAAACTGAAAGCTCTGTGTACCATCATGAAACAGGTTTTACTTTACACTTTCCATTACTGTTTGGTCTGCAGAAAGGTCAAACCAGAAATATTTTCAAAGTTGTTTTTTTATGTAATAGCTGGACTCTAATTAGGAATTATTTTATTGAACAGTTTGTTACTGCAGTAAAACAAATATTGTATTTAATAACCTGACAAATAAATAGGGAGCTATAAGGTGTTGATGCTGGAAGATGGGTGTGTAGGATTTTCAAAACAGTGAAAGAAATGCTGGCCAAGCTGCCAGAGATCATGATGTGAGAAAGATGATTGTCAAAGTCTGTCTGTACACAATAGAACACAGGCAGCATATTTTGACTAACTCTTTGGGTGTGTTACTCTTCTTCAAAGAATAGATGCATTGTTTCCACATTTCTTTGTTTGAGTCCAAATACTCAACAACAGGTTTAAATAAAACAATTTATTTTATTTTTCTGATGCTCATAGATATAAGAAAAAAATAATAAGTATCATAATTTCCCAACAACTCAAAACATATGTAAAGAATATTAAAAG